TCGCCAGCGTAGATATATTAAGGGAAAATGAGCGGTAAGCAATAACCAGCCAATGCTTGGCAATCTTCATCCCCACTAAAACATTTATTTTCACTCCATGGGGTTTTTTGCCCCTTAAATACCTCAGTGACAAATAAATTATGAACATTACAGCTAATTTATTACTCAGCACTGCTGAGAACGTTGAGGAAAAAAAAAAAAAAGACAGCAGTATTTCAAAGCTGATTCTTATTCTAGGAAAACAAATACTTTATTAAAAACAATAATAAATTAAAAGGAAAAAAACTGCTCTTGCAGTTAAATCTGCCCATGCCTAAACCTTTCAGGCTCCGCTGCTGTCAACCAAGCGAAAGCTTTATCATTTGGTTCAGCAACAGAATCAAGCTCTTAATCTCTGCCTCAGTTTCCCCACCTCCGACACTTCTCTCACCCACTCAACTCAGACTGGGAAAACTCAGGGGAAAATTCTACTGTGCAGCACCAAACACAACAGAAAGCTCTGAAGCACTGCAGTATTCCCAAAAACTGTCTTTAAGAACATCCGTCACACAGACCTCTCCAGTGACTTCAAGGAGTGTTTGACCAGGTCTGTACAACAGGAACACAGAATTGCATCTGTCAGATTTAACATGCCAGGGGAAGGGACTGAACACCAAAACAACTTAAAAAATCCAAGAGCCAAATTCTGCTCTTAACCCCTCAGTTCCCTGGTGCTCATCACACAGGACCCCTATTTCTGTTTGTTCCACTAGGAACCCTTTGATGATTAACTTCTGTGTTTATCTTTTTTTTTTTTTTTCTGAAGATGGAATTTCAAGATTTTCATTAATATCCCAAACCCCAGCAGCAATAAAACTGCACAGAAGGAGCTTGTCTCAGAGACCATATACACACACGCACTCTCACCTGGACTCACACAGCACTATTTTACTGCAGACATGTTAAGAGGGCTTTTGCAGGCTGCAGTGAAACGCTGCTGCACGGGCAAAGCTCTCCCTGGGAAGTTAAGTGTGGCTCAAAAGTTTTCATTCAGCAAAACAAAAAACAATTTGGCATTCATTCCCACGCAAACACCAATGCACCCTCCTTGGGACGGACCAATTATTTTCCTTTCCATCCCATGCTCAGGCCAGTCATCCTCTATCACTTGATAAAACACATGAATGGCTGCATTCAAAGCTGCAGCAAACAGAGACAGCTCAGTAAAGCTCTGTAAAAACAGCTCCGTGGAGCACACCACAGCACTGGTTCCCAACACACTTCCCATATGCATGCCCTTTATCTAAAGAAGCCCATGACTTTGGCAGATGTTGGATGCTTGCAAGTAGGTCAGTTTGAATGGGAGCGAGTCGAGGCTAAAGGCTAGGGAGGGAAATTAAATTGTGCTCCTGCTCCACAAACTGTGGCTGTCAAACCGAGAGCTCTTCGCCTTCTGCTCAAGCAATGATTTCACCACTGGTTAGGCAAAAGATTTGACTGGCAGGGCGATGAAATGCCTCAGTGATAAACCGTCAGGAGCACTTGGAACGTTATTACCAGGGAAAATATTCCAAAATATAGTGCACGTAGGAATTCATGGGGGGGGGTGGGGGGGTGGACAGGGAGGGAAGCGTTGCCAAGGTATGTGAATAAGCCTTATCAAAATCCTCATCGCTGCACGGCCAGCATGACTGATCACACTGCTGCATTCACCCGAAAGGCACAAGGCTCCGGCTGGAGAGAGGAGGTTCCAGCCTTTCCCTCCTGGTGCCATCTGCACCAACAACGCTCAGCTCTTTAATCCACTGCCCAACGCTGCAGGAGAGCAACCGCGGGGGGAAATCAGCTGGCCTTCTAAAAGTTGCTGCGAAAACCCTGAGTAACTTCTGCAGCAGGAATGCCTGCAGACTACAAGCAGCAGTTTTCCCCACTGCCACTGCAGTTGCTGGGAAATTCAAGTTTCCAAAAGCACGCAGAAGTAATTAGATGAAGCCAAATAAATGCATACACAAAACCTTACAAGAATATGCAAATAATAGGGTGTATTCAGCAGCCCCAGAAATTAAGGCAGCAGCACAGGCTTGTATTTGCATAAACTATGCAGGATATGGCACCAAGTAATTTTGGAACATGTGCATTTTGCAAACAGCAAGCATAATAATAGACAAATATTTTGGAACGTGACATTGATCAAATACTCCCTAAAACTTCACATGAAGAACCTCAGAGACACTGTACTACTTCACCACAGACATCCACTGTTGGCATCCTGGGGTATTTTCACTGCTGAGTTCTGTGGGAAAAGAATTGGACTTTATATAGATTTTTATCAGCATTTATTATTTATAAAGCCCTGTTGGCAAGCACAATGCTTTATGAACAAATAAAAGTGAATGATCTTTGCTTCAAAACCACATAATGAATGAATGTATACTTTGTACACATATTCAAGTGGGCGCCGCTGGTTTATTGTACAGTGAACATGGAAAAAAGAAGTTTTTTACATCTCTAAAAAGAAATAGCAATATCTACTTCTAAATGTACTGACATGAAAGCCAAGCCCAATCCAAACTGAGCTCTTCAGTCACTCCTGAGAAGCCAAGCCTCTGCCTTGTTTTCTTAACAAGCTCAATTTTTGCCCTCATGGTCTCCCTGTGCAGAACAAGGCAGACAATAACTGAGGAAACCAACTTGTCGCCGTATAAGGCAAAAGAAAAGGTTTCTCTTCCTGAGTTACAAATAACTAGGGAAAGTCACAAATGTGGCCAAGGAAAGCAGAAGTATGAATACACTACTCCCTCACTGCTGACAGGCTAAAATTAGTAGTTTATTCAACTGCCCAGAACTACACACTGTGCCTGTCCTACGCAGCATCTCCCTATTTGTCTGTCTTTCTGTTTGCTCTCCACTTTGTCTCGCCTGCTAATTTGTCCCCTGGGGAGCAGCCCGGCAGACCACAGCCAATCCCCACTCATCCCAGGAGCCTGAGTAAATGAATATCCACCTGCAGTTACACCTGAGCAGCTCCGCAGTGCCTCCACTGATTTCACCCCATGACAGCACCTGAGAGCAGCACATGGCCTCATGGGACACTTGGTCTGCAAAAACGATTAGGTCCTCCACGCTTTCCACCAAGCATCTTTCCTGCTCCTGCTCTCACTCCTCTGCAGCACCTGGCCAGACTCGCTTTAAGCACACGTGTACCCTCCAAAGATAATTCCACATTTGCATCTGTTCATTGTATGAAAAGCTGCATGGTATTTGCAATGACGGCAGATAAATTATACAGGGAACGGAGGAACACTTGCCCAGTGCAGCTGGGCCACTGCTTATGCATGCTGGGGATTGTTTTTAGTTTGCTTTTCTTCTTCCCTCCCCTCCACTGCCCAGTTGTCTGTTACTGCCTGAGGATATGGCCAGCCACGGGGCATTGCTGTCATGCCGCTCAGGATACAGACCTGGAGAAGGGCTGAGAGTAGAGACAGCAGCACCTCAGTCCAGTTCCACCCCTCGCAGGAGGGAGGCTACAGGAATTGTGATGGCAATGGTCATTTCCAGCCTGGGGGGCTGGGGTGTGCAAAACACTCCAGGGGAGCAAGAGGGAGCGAGTGCTCTACTCTGGTACAAAGCATGCCCCGAGAGTTGGGAAAAACAGGAAAAGAAATGCTAAACTGGTGAGGAGAGAGCAATGCAAAGGAGTTTGAGGAAAATGCCACACTAGCGACTATTGCTGCTGATCCTACACTCAGACACTGTAGTGAAATGTGCCAATATACAGTCCTCTAGCAGATCCATACATTTCCAGCACACTGGTGCCCACTGGGTGACATCACCCGTGGGCTCTTCCCTGGCTATTACTCTGAGGAAGGATTACTCCGCACTCATTCACACTGACAGCTCATTTTGCAAGCAGCTCATCGGAAACAATGTCTTTACTTACTAAGGTGTTACTCACATAAAAGAGGCATGTTCTTGTCAGGGTCCTGCAAATTAAGTTATACCACCTATATTCATGTAGGGTATAGAACTGCTAAATTTAGCTCATCAGATCTCATGTAGTTTCCCTTGGAATTACAAATATGTTCCACACTAAACTTATGTTTTATTATATGGAGATGAATTCTAATTTCCATTTCATATTAATGAGGAATATTAACCATGGTTAGTTTAGTCACATACCTTGAAAAATTAAAGATCACGTTCAGTACAAATTTGCATAAGTAGTTTGAGCATGTGAGAAGAGCAATGCTAAATACTGGATACAAGTACCGAATGCAGAGATCTTACACTTACTGTAGAATATATTACTTGTATGGCCTCAAAAAGCCTCAGAGATTATGAATACATTTCTTTTCCATGGAAACTATAATTCTCAAATCCAGCAAGCTATTTTGAGAAATTTAAATCAACTATACACTTACATCTGCTGGAAGCAGAACATTTCCACAGGCTGTATGCTCCAAGGCACAAGCACAGCCGTATGGACATCTTCCCAACTCTTCTACTATACTTCTGCCTCTGACACCACATCTCACTATGCAGATTTAGCGCTGAAGTCTTATTTTGGCTGTTCTGTACCCAACACCGGGACCGGCGGGGCTGCTGCGCTCAGCACCGCTGCATCACTCGAGAGGATGAGCAAAACCGGGTAAGGCGGGAGGCACGAAATAAATGCCCCGCTAGAATTCCTTGGTATTTATTCAGTGTGAAGCGGGAAGGCTGGCACCGGACCGGAGTGCCCGGCCGGCCGGAGAGCCCCGCAGCGGTGCCAGCCCGCTCCGGGCGCTCAGGAGTCCCGGGCACCGGCCGCAGAAGTTGGGAGGCAGAGGGTGGGTGACCCCTGGGCACTGCTGAGTCATTTCAGCCGCCAAACGCCGAGCTGCCCTGACCCCCCCCAGGGCTGGGGGGCTGCCCCTCCGAGCCGCCCCGGCGCCGACCAAACTTCCCCCGCGCTCCGCCGCGCACCCCCGCCCGCGGCTCAGCCCCGCCGGAGCGCGGGGCTGCGGGCCGGCCGCACTCACCAGGTAGGCTCCCACCGTGCCCTGGGCCAGCATCAGGGCGCACTCGGACACCAGGAAGAGCTGGATGCTGGAGAAGCAGGAGACCTTCCTCCGCCGCCTGCGCTGCCGCGGCGCGCCGGCCCCCGGGAGCTCGGTGGTGCCGCCGCCGCCGCCGCCCGCCGAGCTCCGCTTCCCCGGCATCCTCCCGGGCGCCGCCGCTCCGCCGCCGCGGGATGGCGGGCCCCGCGGCTGCTCCGCGCCTTCCTCCTCCTTCTCCTCCTCCTCCTCCTCCTCGGGGTGCCAATCACAGCGGCAGCCCGCGGCGGCTGCCTCTCCGCCCGCGGGCTGCTGCTGCTGCTGCCATGGCCAGCTCGCCTCCGCCACCGCCTCCTCCTCGCTTCTCTCCTCCCCTCGCCCGGCCGCGCTCCCTCTCTCCGCCGGCCCCGCGCAGGCCGGATCCGCGCCCCCGCCGGCGAGGGGCGGGGAACACGCGGGGATGGGGATGTGGATGGAGCTGGCGGAGGCTCCGCGGCGGCGGCGGCTGCGGGCGGGACAGCCCCCTCCCGGGATCCGCCGGTTCTTGTTACCGCGGGGGAAGCGGCCGCAGCGACCTCCCTCTCCTCTCCAGCCCCGGGTGTCCCCCGGACCCGCAGCCGCGAGCGGAGGGAGCGGGGATGCTCCCGGGCAGCGATGGGAACGGGGGTTCTTCGCGCAGGTTGTGCCCCCGCGTTGGCGTCGCCGGCACCTCCTTCCAGATGTCACCCAACCCCTGCCCCAGGCGCCCTAATTTCGTACAGTTGTAGGTGTCCTTTTGCAAAGAGGAAAGGGGGCCCTGAAAAAATTAAGTGGTCCTTAAAAAGGAGCGGCAGAAGGTGTGCGTCGAGTTGTCGCTGCCACGTGGGCCAGCCTTGCCTGTCCCAGCCCTTCCAATGGTGCCCTTTGTGGTCACCCCTACCCCGAGTTCTAATTTCAAGAGATATCTTCTGTTAAAAACCACTAATCTTCGCTTCTACTATTACAGATCACATTCCTTGCTGGCACAATAGCAAAACCTGATCTGTTTTGCTCCTTGAGTGCACTTTTCCAGTTCATTTCTGGATCCACACTGGGGGCTGCTACCTGACTTCCTTATGTTATTAACCTTCCAGTTATGTATAAGTTTAAATCCATAATGATCCATTTAGTACTGAGATGCCCGCGGCCTTTGAGAGGAACAGTTTTCTGGGGAAACACAGGTTACATTTTTCAAAAATAACTCCCGATTTGGATCTTAAATTTCTTTTCAAAGGTGGCAGAGGCAATTGTTTGAAACTCCTGAACACCTCAGAAGATACCTTTAAAAATGGAACTTAAGCACATTCTAATTTTTCAAGGCATAAGCCAGTCATCACCAGGAAGTCAAGAGAACTGACATTTTAAGTGAGCCCTTTTTTTTTCCTTCCTGCACTCTTTTTGAGTTTCTTCTCCCAAAATACTTCATCGCTTGGGGGCTTTTTATTTTGGCCTACTTTTATGGGACTAACTTTAGTAAACACTGTGCTGAAAATTACTCTTGAGCAGAGTCTCCACCCAGGTTGATGAATCTTTACCCAGACCAGCTGGTGCACATTGCCCCGCAGAACTGCAAACCATTGATAGAAAGAAAAGGGAAAGACCTGGCACAGTCAGTTGCTGCCCTTTGCTCCTCAGCTGCCAACAGCTTTCTCCCGTGCTGAACTTTGGCTTGCCACAGCTTTTCCAGCAGGTCTGGGCCACATCAACAGGTGTCAATAGTCCCATCTACCCCAGGGACACAGTCTCTAACACTGATGGCCTGAGGCATCGTTATCAAACAATTAGTGGGGAGAACAGTCTGGTAGTTGTAGTTGAGTGGCCTTCATTTTAATGAGATACAGATCAGTCCTTCAGACATTGCAAGCCTCCCAAGATGCACCTTAGATGCTACCTGAGGCCTCAAATGCCAAGGTTTTTGCATGAGGCCATGAAAAACTGGCTCTTCCATCCATACTGGTTTCTGCCAGTTCATAGGATGTTTGTTTTCCATCCAGGGAAAACTGGTTCTTCCACCAAAGAAACCCAAAAAAGGCTCATTTTTTGGAAAACTCTTCAGGCATCAGAACTGCTCATCTCTTTCCTATAATGTTTATTTATGGACCTCTGCTATAAAAGTCCTGAAGTTAGGAAGGTAGCAAGGTCTCTAGATGGGTAGATTTGCAGATTAATTCAATTAACATGGCTAGACAGATGCTTTGCTCCAGGTGGATGCCGTAGCGTGTTATAAACAGGATGGACAAGCTCACAGACTTTTAAGTAGGTGAAAACAGAGTGATGTCTCTTAAAATACTTCAGCATACAGAGTGATGGTATGGGAAGTCTTAACATTCCCGAAAAAAAATTAACAACCCACATTTTGAGGGCATTCTGGTCTTTCCAGTCAGCTTTTCCTTGCTCAAGGTTGGATGCTAAAGGCAGCAAAGCTCTGAAAACTCATGTAACTCAAGTGTATCTCTGGAGGCAGAAGTAAACCTCTGCACATGCTACTGCAGTTACCAATATTCAAGTCTATGCTTTAAAGCTTTGAAAATAAAGAAATATATATATAATATATGCAAGTAGCATTTTTTGTCTTGATCACGTCTTAGACATCCTGTTAGAAGAGTTTGTCCAGGCTGATAAACTGCTTGTCTTTCACAAGGAAAACAGCTGCTAGAAAAATTTGACTCTTAATACTAATTATCTGAAACATCTGGTTGCTTAGTTTATTGCAGCAGAATACAATTATCAGTTCAATTTCTGTCCAGAAGAGACAGGATGACTGGATTTTTTGCTCTTCTTTATCTTGAATACTCAATTCCTTTAGAAAAAATCCTCCTGGATTGCTCTGCTGCAAGAAAGAATGAGGGTCTTGCATCTCCACTCAAGTCCATTGGTAGCCCTGAGTTTGCTTTTTAACATACCACATTCCTGAGAGATCTCGGTAGAGTGCTTCAGGGATGGCCAAGTGACCTGTTTGGATTTAATAGTTAATTATTGCTATACTCAAACAGCTTTTCTGGTCTAAATTGACGCAGCTTTAACTACTAATGTGTGGAATACTAATGTCCTTGGATTATCATTAGCCTAGAATGAAAAACGACTTTATAGCTAGAACAGTCCCTTTTCCTCAGGGCTCAGTAGTTTTGCCAGCACAATTCCCAGCTATTTCCCCGACCAAAGCCAGCCTTAACAACTTTGCCCCCCACAGTATTTTGCATTAAATATCTTGCAGATACCTTGTCAGGTTTTCATAAACACTCGAACATTCATAGCTGGGAGGCAGCAGTGATGCCCTAGATAAGGTTGGACACCACAATCTGTAATGAGTTGGCTCCCCTGAGACCACCTCGTTACATCTTGTCTCTGGACATCTCCTTGCTGAGTACCTGCGGGCTTGTGTCAACATTCACGTCTGGGTAACCTTAGCAGCTGGAGGCTTCTTGATCTGTCAGTAAGCAATTTCTGCATTAATTCCCTTCTTTCCTCCTATTTATGGTTAATATTACTGAAAATTAGCTGTGTAATCATGTGTTTTGATACTAGACAGGCACAACTTTTTAGATTCATGTCAAGAGTCTGGTTATGGCACAGCAGAACTGAGGGAGAAGGGAGAACTGAGAAGGGTGAGGACCTTAGTGAAGTACTTGACTAGTATCTTACACCTCAAGGGGCAAAAGTGCAAGCTGAAAATCTAAGCTTGACCATCAGCAGTGTTGGTAACAGGAGGAGGAACAGAAGAGGATGATTTTCCTTCAGCAGAGCTGGAGGAAACCACTTGCATGAAATGTGCCAAAGCAAGCAGCTGAGCTGTATCATTAGGCATCTCTACAATTGCCATTGGAATCATATTCTCAAACCTTCCAGACATGTTTTACAGTCCAGAGAGCTAATGTGTGCCTCACCCAGAACAGCTTCATTGGAGCAGTGGTGGGCACCCAGTGTACCTCTTCCTGCTGAGGAAGCAGCAGAGAAAACCAGGGGCAGTTGCTAAGAGAAGATGATGGTCTCACAGGAAACACATCAGTCCTACAGTGTTTATAATAAAAAAGACCCAAAAAACAGCAAAAGCAGTGCTGAAAACATGACTTGACTTCTGTCACCAAAACTGATCTGGGTATTTTCTACAGGGCAACTGTACTTCATCACTCTCCTTTGCACTGCTGTAGGTCAAGAGCAGCTATTAGAGTTTGATACTCACCCAACTGTCTGCATCCTTACCCTTCCCCATGGCTATGGTTTTATGACAGGTGTTTGTGCAGTGCAGCTTTGGGGTTGCCCTCCTGCCCTGTGGCCCTGGGTGCCAGCCTAGCTGTAAATCACTGTTAATCTGACATAATTGCAAGAGGGACTGAGGAACACCATTGTGAGAGCTGCCTTCGGGGCATGCTTGTCTCAGTCTGTCGGGTTGACACTCCTGCCCCTTGATCTGGCAGAGGAGATGCTTTCACCTGGCCTCGAGGATGTCAAAGCACTGCATTAGGTACTGGAAAATAGTGTTCCTGAGAGGTTTACATTCTGCTCCATTCAAAACCCCTGACAGTGAAGCTACAAATGAGGCACAGCTGTCTCAGATAACCACTCTCAGACTACACCCATTTGGGTTTCTTTCCAGGGCAGTGTATCCATGTTGAGGCCAGTTTTCATTTGCTTTAAGCCATTTGGATGAAAGGAAAGCTCTTGTGCTGCCAAAGTAGATTTGCATGTAACGTAAATCATGTCTCCTTGGCACCAGATCTGCACCCCTGACTGGTTCTACTTGGTGCATTTGTCTTGAGAAAGGATTACACATTAAGAAAACAAGGAGCAACTTCAGATATGTTCAAAGTACAAGGAAGAAAATGTAAATAAATAAGAAATCCCAGGACTTTAGCCAAGAGGCTTTTCCTTGGGATGGCTTTGAAATTCTGTTTTCTGATTCTCTGGTACAAAACCCTGCGGATATGCTGGTACAGGAGGGAAGTGACAGGAAAGGATTTTCATCATCTACCGCTGTGGAATGAAGGTATAAGAGTGCCCCATCAGCCAAGGCTGTACAGCGGTAAGGAGAGCTGAGACTGGGACAGCTTGTGGATGTATCAGCAGCTGTCATTTCCAAGATACCACAATGCTAACAATTTTAAAGCAGTTTCTTTCTATAAACACTTCTGACTTTACTGCCTTTCTATTTTGAGTCCTGCTGGAGACTTGGTCTCATTAAAAAGGCATTTCCTTCAGACAAGCTGATTAGATAGTTGTTTCTTCCTCCAGATGATGAAAGGATGGAGAACACCTCGCTGAAGCT